CGATGACGAATTGATGAATATCAACAGTGATATCAACGAAAGCAGGTTATGATCTGTGGTTATGATATCAACACGATGCCGCGATGCCGTCAGATGTTATCGGCGGCCATTTTAACTCCAAAGGAGTGGACAAATCAATTGCGGTACTCTACCAATCTAGGGACTTTAGGGTATGTGAATCTCAGGGTAAACTAAAGTTGTGTAAACACCACTCGCATCACGTAAAGAGTAGCTATTATAGTAACCGCGTAGTACGGGAAGCTTTAAATACTCTTGATTATCTTCTATACGTCCAAAAATAAGAATAGGTTTGCTTTTTTTGGAATATCTAGACGATTAATTAATTGACGTTTGTTAATTTATAGATTATTGACAGTCTCAAATCGTGTCTAATCGGACAACTTCGGATAGACTCGTTTACCCTGAAACTCACATACCCAGGCGATGTCCTTGACCATATTTTAGTTACAATTAGCAGTCTATGTACTATATGGTCTAAGGTGGATTATCACAACACCTAGAAGTTCTTCAGGAGAATTGTAGAAAAAAGGCGGCCGAATCCCCATCGGACATAATGCCGATAAAGCACAAGCCAGGGAAGTCACCGTCTTTCAAGCAGAGGTCTATGCCATAAACCTCTGTGCCTTAGAAATGGGCAAGAATGGGGCAAAAATAGATATCCCAGTCAAACCGCAATGAAGGCGGTAGTAGTCCGTACCTGCGTATCTAAACTAGTCTGGGAGCAGAAGAGACACGAAGTAACGGAAACGTGCTCTTTTCAGAGCGAAGGAAGGGCAAGCACCACCAAACCCGCTACCGCCGCCACCACAGCGATGAATTCTACCAGCGTGGACGCTCAGCGCAACGTAACGCCCAGCACCTACCGACCATCATCACCGCCACCACCGAAAGGACAGCGAAAGGAAGACGTATATAGGCGCTCTGCAGTCACGTTTGATAAGTGACCCAGGGTTTCATGTGCCAAAGATTCGGCCACTCTAGCGTCAACTGAGACTTTGCATCCCGATTCGTTCGTTGTGCTAACCACCTAGCGTCAGACTGCAGGAGGGAGCAGTAAGAAAGGGCACTCATCTACACCCATTCCGGAAGTTCGACGTCGTTCAGGATTGGATCTCCACACGAATCCGCCCGTTACAATACCCCCTAGTACCAGGAAGATTACGAACTGGAAAAAACTAATAACATTTCCAGCGAAGTATCCAGACCCCGACCGAACTAGAGGAAAGGGGCCAGTTACAAGGGTCCTTACCCGCGGCAACCAAACAAGGTCCCGGTAAGAAAGCGAGTCAGCTCCCCCAGTAAAGCGGAGACGGCAACTCACCCGAGAAATGAACATCAAGGTCAACGCCAAGCAAGCCACCCTCAAAATCGCCATCCAGAACTATAACAACAGGTCCTGGAACGAGTACGTTGAAGAAACCATGACCGGATGCGGAAACGTTTACCAAATCGGTCATGCACCTACCTTTTGAAAATCTCCGGCTTATCCTCTAGACCTAGAGAGTCTACCACTACGACAAAACACAAAATGCAGAACTCTTCGCCGAAACCCTATCCTAGACGATTCCGAAATCCTAGACGAGGAACACAATCAACAAGTCGAAGAAAAACTCCAGAGACTACTCGCCACTCCGGCGCAGCAAGGAAACTAGAAACTAAAAACAACGCTGCACCAAGTTTTGTTCTAACGGCTAATAAATTGGGGTAATCAGAAAAAAATTGTTAAAGTAAGTATAAGATTATTATATTTATTTTATTTTATAGCATAATATGTTAAATTGACATTTTAATAGGGTTGAATGAGTAGGCTAAGTCGTTCTTTAATCGTGAGGGTAGATAAAGTGAAAGTGATAATTGTGCATTCTAATGACATCTGTCATTCTTATGTCAAATGGGACGCGAAGCACGATATTAAATGACGTTCAGAACATGTGGCAATGCTGTTTCTATTCTAAGCTTGCTATTTTGGACTCCTCAATCGTTAAAATATCCCTTTATCCTCTTTTATATATGTAATAAATAATTGTTAATTACCTACAGTATTTAGCATATTTATTAATTGGGGAAAAACCAACTTAAATACACTATTCTGAAACAGTCAAACGCATGTCTAATTCAAGGCTACCTATAATTATCATTGTATGGACACGGATGGAAAATCGCACTCATAAGAAGATCTTGCACGCTTCGGCTCATTGCGCTTCAATAAATCTGAAAATAAATCGGCACTTCTGCAAATTTCTCTATGTAGGGCCATTAACAATTTCACCACTAAGAATTTCGGATACCTCCGAATTTAGCACACTCGATTTTAAGCTCGGGAAATTGTTTATGAAATGGCTTGGCATATGACTCTTTCGATCTGCTTAAATCTCCAAAAAAAAGCGACGATGTACCAAATAAACGTATCAACCAACTATAAATTTACATTTACATTAAGGTGTTCTACATGAAAACCGGTTCGAAGCAGATTTCAAAGCAATTTATAAAAGCGCTACCCGTTAAATAAATCTTCTATTAATAGTGCAATATGCAGGACACATATTAATTAATGTAATACAAAGGATGGGATTTTAAATTAGAATGAAATGGCAAAGATCAAGCTTTATTGAGATCGATTGGTATAAGTGGTTCCTAACTGGAAATTGCCAGATTTAAAAGTTAAAGTAGCTTTCCTCAATTAGGAGGAGTGTCATTGGGCGGTTATTAAGTGACACTAATTTAATTTGGGAATAATTTGTCAAAAACTGAAAATGATGAACTCCGGAAACATTACAAATAAGTATTCAGAAACTACAATTTCTTAGTAGCGCAACTAGATACCGGGCGTTCAACAAAGCTGGTCGACTGACTTCATAAATATACGGTGTGGTCATAACTTTGGGTATGGAAGTTGAGGGCGGAAAACGGCACTTGACTTAAGACAAACAACATTTCGGGACGGGTAAACAGGACGAAAGTATACTACTTATCGAAACCGCTTTAAATCGTTCACGTGACGTGACGGCTGTTATTATTTTACAATGCATCGTGTTTCATTTGTCTAATTTTCGAAGGCCTACCTAAAAGTGTTGGGTGCTTTTCTTTCGCGCCATCGACAAATACCGGAAATACGTAAAAAGTAAATTTAAGATACAATTTAAGCATTTTAATTAATCTCATTTTCCCAATATTTGAGGTTAGGAACGAGATATTGAAAAACGGTTTTCACTGGCCTCTTTGAATGTTATTTGGCTACTTTTTCATAAAGAAAAGGTCATATTATTCCATTTGATTTTTTTAGGATTTCGGGTCATAGTGTCGAAGCGAGCCCCCTGGCGGAGAAGGATTCAACTAAATTACTATATTTTGGTTGATTCTCATTGCCCAAGGAATGCTCTCTTCAACCATACCAAATTTGTTAAAATCGGTCAAGCGGTTAAGAAGTTAAAGCAGGTTATTGCAAAAACAATTGAACGCCCCACACCATCTTTGTTTTTGAAGTAACTGAGTTTTTGTTTTTACGAAAATGATAGATAAACTGGTTTTCTTTAAAAATGTGAAAAAACAGTTTTTTAGTTTATGCGAAATTTAAAGAAAATGCAATTTTAAAATTTAAGATGGCAGTTACGCCCTCTGTTGGTCATTTTTAGAACTTGAAAATATTTTCCAGCGATTCTTCATGACCGATTTACCCACTAATTTTTTTTACCCCTAACACATATGACGAACGGTTTTCGAGATATGGCTGAGGAACAGTCTTGTTGGGTCACCCGGTACAACTAGTTTTGAAAGTGATACTTTTTTTCATGAATTTGCAGTTTGATTAATGAGAGTGAAGCAATGAAATCTCTTTCTCTCCGAATGTGCTTTCAGCTCTTCTGTAGTGAAGTTCACCTCCAGGTACAGTATCCCTACCTTTTTACCTTCTATAGTCTGTTTATAGGTTGTAGAGAGATTGTCAGGGTCCTCATCCAGCATACTTGAAGCCTCATCTGAATTTTGTGACTCCGCACTGGTTGAGGCAACCTCTGACTCTGGGCTCTGGCGGAGCACTAAGTGGGTTCGTGTGAGGCCGAATGGCCTCAGGTCCCATGGTTAGTGCGCTTGGAGGTTCTTCCATTCGGCAAGAAGAGTGTTTTTAAAACTGGAGTTCTCTTGGGCTCGAGTTCGCTTCACCTACCGATCATCCAGCCCGTCGGCGTAACCTGTTCCACCTTGACCTCAGTTTTTTTTTTACTGAGGTTGACTCCTCTTGGTACGGGAACTTAAGCCAAGACCGTCCACATCCTCAGGTTCTTGAGACATGTCAACAGACGACCTTCTGATCTGATCTGATCTGAAGCAGGTTCTAGACACGACAGCCGGACGAGGTATGCGCCACATGGGGACGCACGCGGTAGAGAGCCACCCTCCACATCCAAATTGTTTTATTATAATTTTATTATTAGTTTCCAGCGAAAACCTTATGGGAAAAAAAATTGTGGGGGCGTTGTGCAAGGTCTTCCTTATAACCCAAACTCTCTTTCTTGTGTTTTAAAGAAAACGGAAATCACAAACTTTACGAAATGCAGGTCATTAGTTAGTAGGAGCCACAGAAATTATATATTTTTAGTTCAGTGGTAGGAGCGCGATATAAATAAAAATGCCGATTACAAGTGCACTAACAACAATAATAATTAACGTGTTTATTTTTTGTATTTTGTTGTCTATTGTTTGAATAATTATAAATAAATTTGTTTGTTTTATGGATGTCCTTTTGCCAATCTCTTCAGAAGCAGAAGATAGCTCTCTTTGCACAATGCTGGAAAGTCAGAAACAGAGATTTATTGGTAACAGATAACTCTTTTCCCGTTAGAAATTGCCAAATTAGAAAATCCCCTACGTCATCGACGTGCCGTTCTCTCCCGCGTGCGTAGATTGTCATTTTGCGAATTTGGCGGGCGTCCGTGGGGGAGAGCGGAAACGTACCAGTTTCAAATTTGCAAAGTGCGTAAAGGTGCTACTTACGTCAGAAGAAGCAGTCGGGAAGGGGGAATGGGCTCTTATTTTAGTAAATGGCAAATACCTAATCTTGCTCAGTCGATTAACGACGGTTGTTATTGTTTTTGTGTTTAAACACTTGAGAGCACGTGCAAGGTACGTTTACTTGTCATTCAATTATTTCAAAGGTAATAACTACAATAGTAAAATTTAACACCTTCATTATGGAAATGTTTATCCATTCAAGGATTGTTAGTCACTTTCACATTTGCGGTCCACGGCCATAGGATAATTCGATAACTCATAGTAAACCCATTAAAGGCGAATTAGGAATATAATTTGCACGTGCAATGTCCATCGATTGCGATTAAACTCAGTTTTATTGGATTATACGACTTGAAGGCTTTCTTTGAAAATGTTGCAGTACCATTTTCCTCAAATAAAGAAATGCAACTTTTAGTTACTAATTAGTTCATTATAATGGTTCCTTTGGTAGGGGTGGTTTAATTTTTATACACAATAGAGAGGTGGATGGTTAAAGCGGAGTTTTTAGAGGGCATCTTTTGCGGTAAAATTCCCCGACAATTTCTTTACTGATGTTATCGCGCTAGCCACAACCTGCAGAATTTTAAATTATCGTTGGAAAGGCCCTCCTTCTTTGAATATGAAACATTACAATAGCTCGAAATTCCCACCAATTATAAATAAAATAAGGATTTTTTTTAAATCTCATTTCAAAACCATACCACAATCGATTGTAAATTAATTACAAATTTCAAATTACTAATCAAAAATTGCAAAAACACGTCTATTTAGTTAGGTGAAGTTTAACGGAAGGTTTATTGGCATTTACTCCCGCACCCTCAGCTACCCCCACTTTCAAATTATTACCCCCCAACAGTACCCCCGGCAAAGGAGGATTCGATAATTCTTTTTCTATTAATCACAAAAAAGCAGTTCTCCGCTGAAAAGGTTCTCCAAGAAAATGTGAAAATTGGATCGCTCTCAGAGCGACTTCGTGACACGCCCTCGTACAATTATCTATTGTTGTATTGAAAGGTCACTGAACATAACTGCACGACTTTGTTTTTTCAACGGTTTACCCGAACAAATTTATACACTGTATAAAATAAACATCAAAATCGATACGTTACCTAAATTATACCTTTAAATCAATAAATACTGTCAAACGCCTGTAATACATTGTTTGACTTATTTATGATGCAGGTTACAATTCAACAAAATAAGCAATTTCATGCAATTTTCGTAACTAAAAAATTTATCTTAAATTAATATACAATTTAAATGAATATTCTAATGAATATAATTCTTCCATTTTTTTGTTTTCCAGTTCCTTCAAATCCATTAGGATCATCTGATCTCTCAGATCCTTCAGATTCTCAAACTCCGCCGGGTTATTCAGATTGTACGAATCTTGAAATTATTTCGAACTGAGGGGCCTGGGAAGTACCTCCAGTACGCGAATATTCCATTACCTTTTTGACCGTACTACGTTCTTGTCCAAAAAACGTTTATATTCAACTGGAATTTTCCAAAGACCAACATGCGAGTTTTTAACCCTCGGTTTAACTTGAAAGAAGAACGTACACAGTACCCCCCAACAGTACCCCCGGCAAAGGAGGACTCGATAATTCTTTTCTATTACCCTAACACTCTGGTAGTAGTCTGTGGGAAAACGTAATTGAATCTTCGTATTCAGTACCCCCCAACCAATATACGACTTTCCTTTTTCAAAAACAATCACGAAAATTTTAGAGGCTTAACTTGAAGGACGAACGTAGTACCGAGGGGTGTGGGGGGCATGGAATATAACGTTTCATGATAATTTTCGAGAAAAAATTCACAGAACTTAGAACCAAGATACGACTGCCCTTTTCCAAAAACAATCATGAGTATTTTGAAGGCTTAACTTGATATTATAATCGTATCTTAGTTCTAAGCTCTGTGGCCTTTTTTTCAAAAATTATCAAGAAACGTTTTTGGGAAAAAACGTAGTACCGGGGAGTCTGGGGCCATACCCCCCAACAGTACCCTCGGAGAAGGAGGGCTCGTTAATTCCTTTTTATTACTCTAGCACTCTGGTGATAGTTTTTTTGGAAAAGGTAATTGAATCTTCGTATAGTGGGGGGTATTCCAAACCCCGCAGACCCCCCGGTACTACATGCTTCCTCTAAGTTTAGCCTTCAAAATTATTATGATTGTTTTTGGGAAAGGACAGTCGCATCTTGGTTCTAAGTTTCGTGGTCTTTTTTCAAAAATTACCACGAAACGTTTTTGGGAAAAACTTAGTACCGGGGAGTCTGGGGCCATACCCCCCAGCAGTACCCTCGGTAAAGGAGGACTCGTTAATTCCTTTTTATTACTCTAGCACTCTGGTAATAGTCTTTTGGAAATTGTAATTGAATCTTCGTGTACTGGGGGGGTAGTAGTAATAACCCCCTCGGTACTACATTCTTCTTTTAAGTTTAGCCTTCAAAGTTATTATGATTGTTTTTGGGAAAGGACAGTCGCATCTTGGTTCTAAGTTCCGCGGTCTTCTTTCAAAAATTATCATGAAACGTTTTTGGAGAAAAACGTAGTACCGGGGGGTCTGGGGCCATACCCCCCAGCAGTACCCTCGGAGAAGGAGCACTCGTTAATTCTTTTTTATTACTCTAGCACTCTGGTAATAGTTTTTTGGAAAAGGTAATTGAATCTTCGTATACTGGGAGTGGAGGGGGGTATTCCATACCACCAGACCTCCCGGTATTTCCTACGTTCTTCCTCAAAAACGAGAACATTGCTCGAATTCTTAAGAAGCATATAAAAATATGCTTCGGATTCTGCAAAATTTTTAGATTCTTCAAATTTTTGAAATCAAGAAATAAGAACAATTTAACTAGGGACTTCAGCGTCTCCCAATTTGGACACTTTTCTAGGGCATCTCCGTAATTGTTAGTGCTATCAAAAGTAATATGCTCTTTTTAGATCAAACATAAAATGGTAAAATAATTATTTGAAAATATTCGCTCGCTTAAAGGATACGGGGGAAAATAAAAAAATTGTCAAGTATTGCCAAAGTATTTTTTCTTTTTTTTTTATAATAAAAAACTTTATTTAAACGAAATATTTAAAATTGTGTAACAAAGAAAACAATAATTAACTGTAATAAATAAATTTCGTCGAACTGTTTTTCAGTTGCAAGAGATGAAATATTTATTTCAGAATTTGTTTATATAACGATTGTTTAATAATAATTGTGTCAATACAATAAGTATACGGAGTCCGGTAAAAAGTTATTGGACCTAACTTAATTTTTTTTTAATGGAACACTGAATATTTTAATCTGAAAAAATCCATATTAAGTTTCCTTTTCGAAAATATAACACGCCAGAAAAGAAATTCAGAAAGATTCAAGTGATTAAAAAAAATTCAAAAAAGATTAAAAAAATTAAAAAACGGCCAAATAATTTAAAAGAATTCAGAAAAATTTCAAAAAAATGTTGAATTGTTTATAACATATTTTAAGGATTATTGAATCAATATTAAATTTTGTTAGTGACTCTAATATTCTATATTCTTAGATTAAAATGTACAGGGTGTTTCATAAGATAAGTTAGGTCTGATAACTTTTTTGCCAGACCCCGTAAACCTATTTTAAAGATCAGATTATTCAACAATTATAAACAAAATTTTGTAATAAATTTGCTAAGAAGATTTTTCGATTTTCCCCCGTATGTTTTAGGCGAGCGAATATTTTCAAATTTTGATTTTGCCATTTTAAGTTTGACTTAAAGAGAGCACAACGCCCATATTACTTTATCGAAAGCACTAAAAATTACGGAGATACTCTACGAAAGTGTCGAAAATGGGACACCCTGTACATCAGAAACGAAATACCTAAGATATCATAAGATCCAGATGATAGTTTTTGATTCTGTAAATCCGTCACGTTCTTAAAAAGCTGAAATTCTTTCGTTTCCTCGAATTTCTTCATTGGATTCTTCAAATTCTCGAATTTCCCCGTTTTTTATTTCTTCCATGATTTGCCTTTTTAACCCCGCGACCAGATTCTGAAAATTCTTTTCAGTTTTTTCGAATTTTTTCGAATTCTTTAAATGTTTGCATTTTTCCTTTTCTTTGAATTCTTCGTTAGATTCTTTTACGTTTCGTATTCTCACTGTATTTATAAACGAATTCTTCAAATTCCCGGGGTTGCTTTTTGCATGCTCCAGGTTCTTTTGATTCAATATTTTAGTTTGTTCAAGTTCTTCAGATTCGGGGTTCTTCAACTTGCTCAGTATTTTTGATCCTTTCAATTTTTTTATTCTTCTAATTCTCTTCTTCGAACCCTTCGAACACGAGCTACTTCAACTCTTTAGTTTCCTCGAATTTTTCCACTTGATTATATTTTTCAAATTCTTCAGGTTCATGAAAGCATTTTTCAGTTTTCTTGCCATTCTTTAGATTTGAAAAGGAGTGGTAAAATTTTTGGATTCTTCAGATTTTTCGGACTGCTCGAGCATTTTGGATGTTTCAGATTCCTCCGATGATTAATTTTTTTTTTACTTTTGTGTTTCTTTAGATTTTTCATCAAATCTTTCGAATGAATATTCAAGTTTTCAAATTCTCATGAGATTCCTCAAATTCGGATTCTTCCATATCTTCAAATTTTTAGATTTTCAAGTTATTTAAATCCAATTCCTAAGACTTTTGGAATCTTCAGTTTCTTCGTCCGTTTTTTGAAATTCTTGAAACTATTTTAATTCTTCCGCTTCTTCTGGTTCTTCAAATTCCTGAAATTCTTCATATCCTCCAAACGATTCAAGTTTTTTAAATTCTTCAATTTTCTGTAGGTTTCTTTTATTGGGTGCTTGACGTTCTTGGATATTAAATTTTTCGGATTCGTCGAATTCATTGGGTTTTACTTATTTTTCCCATTTTTCAAGTTTGGAACTTTTTAAAATCCTCAGCTCCTATTTTCTCAAGTTCTTAAGATTTTTCAGTCTCTTAAAATTCCTCTGATCTTTTAAGTTGTTCGCATTTTATATTATGCTTCTTCAGTTTCTTCCATTGCTTTGAATTTCTGTTTCCTTTCGATGCTTCAAATCCAGCAGATCTCTTCCTTTGTTTCTTCGAGTTCTTACAATTTTTAA